AGAATCGCACACGCGCTTTCAGACAACAGCCAGAATGTGGTCTCACAAAACTTCTCTTGAGGGTGAAGTTTTTCTTGCTTACATAGAGGATGCGATACAAGAGCAACGTGAGAGGTGTCGACGTGCAGATGAACGATTAGAGATGTTGGTGCTAGATTTTGGCTGCCACTTTTTCCCCGCTGAGGGAGATCCGTTGACGCATCCCGATATTTCTCGATTTCTTTCGGAGAATGGGATGGTCACTGCGATGAAGAGGCACGACAATGATGATCAGTACGAAGAATCTGCGCCTACTACGAAAAACCGAGATCATCTTCATAAGAACAAAGATAATAGCAGTGCTACTAGTCCCTCCTCCAATAGTGCCGCGAATAAAAAAGAAAAAGCTCACTCACAAGAACAAGCTGAGCCTCCTATACTCTCTCTGCTGTACAAAAACGCGGAAGCAGACCTGCAAGAAGCCAAAGGAATCCTTGGAGACCTGGAAAAAGTGGCATTGGAGATTCAATTGAGAGGCGAGGTGCCTATGCATCTCTTAGAAATCATGGATGAAGACGACATGCTGGACGGCGCAAAAATTGTGGAAGCCAAAATTGAGGAAAAACTTGAGTTTTTAGCGGCTTCTGAAGTAGATTCTTGTGTTGGTGCCGACGACCAACTCCAAGTCCACCAAAGACCAGAGCACGGCCAGAGACATTTCTACAGGCTGTTGAAGTCGAAAAAAGGGGCTTTGCGTGAGGATTTTTTTCCATCTGCGTTCCTGGAAGCAGAATATCGAAGTATGGCCATGGTGGACCACGCTGAAGAAAACAACTCGATTGTTATCCATGCAAAGAACCGATGGATGCGCTTCGCAAAACGTAGGGATTACCTTCTCGACAAATACTGCGCGTATGAGACCGACCGCCGCCAAGCATGGGAAAAAAGCAAGAGAAAGGAGATAAAGAGTTTGCGCGAATTTGCGCAGTACTTGAAGCTATGGCGGCGCTTTTTTTTTTCTAAAGTGTCTACTCACGTGTTGAATAAGTATCTTTAAGTACTACAGCTTCAAGAAGTTCATTCCTATTGTTGTTGTCACGTTTCGTTCGAAGGATAAAACTCTCGATCGTTGTTTGGTATTGTGTCCTTTTCTTTTGTCCATTCATTGGCATTGCAATCTGTTTTCCCTCTAAGCATAGATTTGGATCAGTTTTACGCCGTCCAGTCAAAAAGTCCACCATGGAAAAGCTCCCCTCTATCCACCGTAACACCTGAAGTCGAGGAAGATAGTTCATCTGAAGATAGCTTGCCATCTGAAGAAGCGTCTTCGGTCAATAGCAGTGAAGACAACGCGGATAATCCTGGTCATGTGCACGAATCACCTACACGTGGTCCAGCAAAGGTTCCGGCTCAAAGTCGTGAAGATAAGGCGAAAAAGACCTGCAAAACACCGGATTCGGACTTCGATGAAATCGAAACACCTCCTCCCATTGCCACTCTAGAGGACTTGAGCAGAAGCACAAAATGCATCATCGTGGATGCGCCAACGAACAAGCATGGGGATTTTTACGATGAAGCTCTGCTTCTTGAGGAAAAGGAAGAAGAAGAAGGCTCCGCGGATAGTACTGGGCGTCATTCATCAAGCAGCTCATCTGATCACTCCTCAGGCAGCTCAGTTGCGGAGCGTCTTTTGCCATATGAAGATGACAGGGACAATGATAGGAAGAAAAACTATAGTACTCGAAAGCGTGCTGGAGGCGAGAAAAACGGAAGTGGAGACGAAAATGGCGGCAGTAGTTCCCCTGTGTCCTCTACTGATTCTTCAGATTCGGGGTCAAGTGGAGCATCTTCATCCTCTTCTAGCGGCAGCAGCAGTGGTAGCAGGAGTAGTAGTAGTTTCTCAACCTCAAAGGGAGCCACACCTGGTAGCTCCGTGGAAAATTTTCCCGAAATCAATGAAGACGAACAAGGTATTACCGGTCAGGAAGAGGTAGATGTTGTTGTAGACCCTGCTCAGGGTCCCTCTTCTGATCCTGACAACGACTCCAGTGTTTCATCTTAAGGGTAGGTGAAAGGTTCTTTTTGTTACCGTTTGTTATGGCTCTCCTAAGGGGGACGGCCATAACAAACGGGATAAACGAATACCAAAACAAAGCCTACCTCTAATCATCAGAGGAAAAGGAGCCACTCCATGAGGGTATCGCTGAAGCGCTGGGACGTAGATATGCGAAAAGGAATACGGATCGGGTGTGCAAGATCTTTCAGGAGATCAATCGCACGATCGCTGAGGACGGCCTGAAGCATAATGCGGATCCTGATTAAGTCAATAATTGATAGGTTTCTTATGCTTTTTCTACGTAGGACGACCGCACTGGAATTTATTTATTACTTGATAGGTTTCTTATGCTATTTCTAGGTAGGACGACTCCACTCAAATTTATTAGTTCTTGATAGATGGTTTCCAGATCTTGCTACTTACATTCATCGAGGAGTCTCTTCTTCAGAAATAGCATCTCCTGGAGCCTTTCTTCCACAGGATTATGGATCTTTAGTAGATACCACAATCGAAAAATCGTGAAAAGATATAAATACCTAGCATTCTTCTAGGACGACATTGAAATGAGTTATTGGATCGAAAGATACCTAGCATTCTTCTAGGACGACATTGAAATGAGTCATTGGATCGAAACTTTAATATCGACCTCTAACACCCAGACCATGCATTTCATCGCAGTCAGAACCCTCTTCCAGTATTGTTCCCTCTGGATGGACACTTGTGGACGCCTGAGAGGGAGCTAGAATTACCTGCGAAATTCGAAGTAGACCGCCACGGAACGTGCCTACACCATAGAGCGGATGTTTTAGAGTTAGGATATTATTTGGAGGTCTTCCTGAACTCTTTTTTTGAAATATCTTCTTGAAAGAACTGGTCACGGTCATGCAGATATTATCCTTAGAGATCATAATGATAGATAAGTACCTACTTACTTAAATTTTTGATCTTCTTGAAAGAAGAGACATTGAAGCTTGCTGGGGACTGGTCATTGTCATGCAGTAGATAATAGGTAAATATTAGAGATAGGTAGTCTCTTAGTTGTCTTTTTGATGAAGAACATATTTATTTTCCAACTTCAAATTTTGGTTGGCATCGTCGGATTCCTACGCATAACCTTTCGATGATAAGTTCTTTTGTACTATAAGTTAAGCAGGTGTCAAGAGAACGGGAACTACATGATTTCTAATCCTTGAGCTCTTTCCTGACGCTTCCGTCGAAAATCGGCCTTACCATGTCACCGTGAAGGAGCAGCTAGAGAAATTTTACGATTTCGCGAAGACACAGCTGAGCAAATTCACTCCGATGCTCCAAGACGAGAAGGTGATTCCAGGCGACCAAGCCAGTGACTTTCAGGAGTTCCTTGAGACATTCGTTTTCTGCGTAACACCACAGGGGGAGAAGGGGGCCGATAGTCGCGAGAACAGGCGGAAAGTTAAGAATGCGGAGAATGGATGTTCATGATCAACATGAGAGTACATGTACAAGTCTGCTAGTCTTCTAGTCTTCTGCCAAATAATATGTACGTCTTAACAACATCATTTGAAAGTTGTTGCGAATACAGAAAGGGAAGCCGTTCTAGTATCGCTCTAATTTTTTCGCGCATATCTCGGAAATCCTAGAATACAATCGGGAAGAAAAAGTCGGGAACGCTGGACTGCGGTACAACAAAGACAAGGCAGGCTGGCCTTTATACTGTATGATGCCACGGCTCATTGAGAACACATCAGATAGGGGGCAACATGTCGTTCCTAAGTTGAGAACATAGATAAGAGGGAGCGACATCCCCCTATCACGATGTTGTCAATGAATGGACGCATTCATATACCACGTGCGCGGCTACATTCCGATGGCCAGTCAGAAGGAGCAGCGCCTGTTCGAACTCGTGAATCGCCAGAAGCAAGTGGATCTGTTCCATAAGATGTCCCTAGTGCCTGATCGGGAAGATCATGACAAGAAGTGGCGACGAAGCAAAAGTAGAAATAGAGGTGGGCACTTTTACAACATAGAAGATGTGGGAGGTCCATTATTATCTTCCTCCAGCAGTACTTCAACAATTACTGTGCGGCGATCTGATCTTCCTTTAGCCTTGACTGATAATTTCGATGTATCACCTGCGCCAACTTCTGGGGGTCAGAAAGATACTATTGAGATAGTGGAGGGAATGGGAATAAACTCAGACAACATCAACATCAACTACAGACCCAAGAACGAGATTGGTTCTCCTACTCAGCTACATCTTCAGAGCAGTGTAGACAACGAAGATGAAGTTCTTGACGAAAAACAACTCCGCGAAAAGGAAACAGAAGAGGAGAGAAGACTCACAGACCAAATCAACGAGCTAGAGAAGTTTTGCGAAGAATCTGGAGTCCAAGATCTCGGATCCTCATCATCTTCTTCCGGCTTATCCTCATCTTCATCCTCGGAGAGTGAGGGCTTTGAGAATGTCGCTGCAACAAGCTCGGATGAAAGCGGCAACTCATCCTCCGAACTACTTGAAGACAGCGACGCTGATTGTCTAAGCAAGGGTACAACAACCTTCACGACGAAGAACACGGGAGAAGAAGGTGCACCAGAGAATCATGAAGGAGTCGTGGGAGTCTCCGATCTGGAAGACGGTTTTGGACACTTTGGTGAGGACGGTGCCTTTCACCTCAGTGGTGGATACTATGGTGGATACTATGACTCTAGTGATGGAGAGTACAGTGACGATTACAGAAAGGGAAGAAAAGTTAAGGCTACCGCTCAAGCATGTCCATCCTTAACAGAATCATCCTTGCTGGATCTTCTTTTTCACTTGAAAAAGGGGCCGAGGATGTGCACTCGAGGAGGCTACGGCGGTAGCTCTAAAAAAGGGAAGGGCAAAAAAGGAAAAAAGGGAAAAGGAGATAAAGGAAAAGGTAAAAAGGGAAAAGACAAAGGTAAAGGTGGCAAAGGTCGTAGCGCGGTCGTGGTATTCGGAGGAGGACGCGATGTAGGCGTCAACCTTGATGCAGCAGACGCTAAGGCTGCTGATCAAGAGCCTGATGAAATCGATGCATTTTCAGATGTCGACTTCGTAGAGGCGGCTAAAGATCTAGGAATCGAGTTTGACCTAGAACCTTCCGATGCTGATGAGCTGCAGGAACAGGAAGAACAAGAGGATGATATGACCTGAGTGGAAAAGTGTACTCGTACTCAAAAAATTAGCTGCTTCTACTTTCCTACGTGGATGCAAGCTACTTTGTTCAGTATGAGTGCGCTTTTTCCTGTCATAAATGACATCTTTTCGCTCTCCTCTGACGCTTCACAGAACCAACACGAGGAAGATGAAGGTTACGAATCCTATGACTCAGAAGTTGGCAGGCTGCAAGAAGGTGGTGAGGTCTCGGCAAGATTGGTAGATTATCTTGATGCTGCAGAATTAGGAGCTGATGCTGGAGATTATTATGCCGGGAGCGATTCCGAATCCGAAGCTGGCCGAGATGGGGACGGGCGGGGACAGTTGGTCGGTGACGACGATGCTAAACTTACACCAGGAAGTAGAAAGAACAACACTATTGATACTGCTGCTGCGGCTAGATCTTCTGTTCACCACGGTAGAATTTCTTCTACTACATCACAAAAACAAACTAGTCGCAGAGCATCAAATGCCATGGGCATGTATGGAGGAGACACAGCTGACATAGACGCAGCAACCACGTTCAACACACTGGCAAATCGAGGACTTCGACCTTCCAATAGTACAAGGAAACGTGGTAGTGCGTGTGGGAGGAAGAAGAAAGAGAGTGGCGCAGCTTCTGGTGCAGATGTAACTAGTGATGGCAGCAGGAGAAGTGCGGACGCGCATTTTTCTAGTGACGCTTCGGCCGTTTCGGGGTCCTCTCGTAGCACAGTGCAGAGCTTCAAGTCTGATAAAAGTCTCAACTCTGCTACGAGAAGTCAGAAGTCCACGAAAAGCCATAGATCCGCTACCAGCGGCAAATCAGCCAAAAGTGGTAAATCAGCCAAAACAAGTAATACTTCCGCCAAGACGACTTCACGATGCTCTAGCAAGGTGAAAAGCGCTCATGCTTCCACTGTGTCAGCTGGCAGTAAAAGCAGTAAAGGGAGCCAAGGCACTGACAAGTCAGATACGCGGCCAGGCAAACACGACGACACGACCTCGTCTTCTTTTAGTGACCTCTCATCTCTTCCACCAGCTCTCGCTGCTGATGGGATACCGGTAATCGTTGATTTCAACACCCATGAGGAAGGTGCACGCTGCTCTGCTGAAGTGGAAGAACATATTGCTACCTGTGGGACAACTGCTAAACCTCCTTCTAAACTTCGCAAGGATGTAGTTGACAAAAAATCCAAGATAACTCCCGTCAAGACCAACACTGCTCCTGCTCGAGTCGAACACAACACGGATCCAATCGTGCGCGTGCAGACCATCAAACTTCTAGATGCTGCAGGGCTGGATTACAGTAGTAGGAGCGAAGCAGAGTCTGACGAAGACAGTAGTTCTTCTTCTGGTTTCGAGGAAAAGCAGATAACGTCGACAGAATCTGAAGAACCGGATGACGATGATGGCGAAACGACAGATGAAGAAGATGATCCTGATCGTGAAAAAGAGCCAAAGGAGCACCAGTCTGAGCAGTGTACTGAGCACGTAGACGATGAACGGGCATCAAAGAAGAAAGGCGATGGCAACGCGGCTGATGCAGCAGCTTCCGCTAATGGAAAAGGTCCTAGTCATGCTGTCGAAGATGGTCCTCCCAGGACTCCCGATGGCGCTACTAGCGAAACAGCTATCAGCTCCACTAGCTCAGCCACAATCAGTCTTTTCCACGGCGAACTTAGTAGTTGTGCCACAACGTTTTTCGAGGCATATTCTGCTTCTCGAGATTCAGTGTTTGAGGGCAGCCGCTGTCCAAGTGACTGGGAAATGACAAGTCAGGATGCCGCTCGATGGAAGAAATACCACGGATCTGCATCTGGAGAAAGCTCTAGTTGTACTGGTAGAAGTCGTGGCACAAGTAATCTTAAGGCTTTATTCTTTAATCCATCTTCGGAAGCATCCGATCTAGACGAGAGGGTTTTACTCAAGGGGAACAAAAGGCACTCAGGATGCATTCCGAGATGGATTAGCAGGACGAGCTCTAATAATGGGGGCCAAGAACAAGGTCATGACGACGACAGCAACTATATAGGAGGAGGGTCGTCTGCCAGTGCGAGAAAGATGGAGTTGCTTCGAAGAACGGAAGCTAAGGAACGGAAGAGAGAGGAGAGGTTGGACGATACACTCAGTTTCATCAGCGATCCCAACGCATACAACCGTAAAAAGTCTGCGAAGAGACGAAGCAAGAAGTTACTAGAGGAAGCTGCTAGGCAAAAAAAGAAAGACGAAAAGAAACAAAGGCTAAGGGTAGGCTATAGGTATTTCTGTTGGCGTTTGTTTTGCCTCTCCTAAGGGAGAAGGGCAGAACAAACGGGAAACAGAAACACCAAAAGCCTACCTCTAAAAAGGGAGAAGGACAAGAATACAGTTGCAGACCAGCAGAGCCAGAAGAGCAGCAAAACGAGGCTATCCACAGCATCAGCAAGGAACAGGGAGAGAATGAGGAACAGTCAAAGCAGTAGATCGTCGGCATGTAGTTTCAGTCTAGCAAGTGAAGATGGTCGTGAGCTCCAAGAGGATGGTAGAACGATGATTTCTAATCGTGAACAAGAAGGCAAGAAGGGTAAGGGTCGAAAGTCTACCGTCTCGTCTTATCACTCTCGCAGCGGTGATGGAGAGCAAAGCTATGCTTCAGGGTCATCGTACCATGGTACTAAAAGTAGTACTAAGGGGCGGAAGAAAGGTAAAGGCAAGAAGGGTATAGGAAAACACGATCGAAGCGGGGGGTACGATGCTAGCGTGGGGACAGGAGGAGAGGGATCTGCGACCGCATCCGGATACTACCATGACCTCCATCGTGAGGATCATACACACAGCACACATGATGCTCTCGAAGACGAGCATGAGTCAACAGCATATGATGAGAATACCACATCGGATTCCTCAGCGCTTAGTGGGTCCGACGATTGGGCGGAAGATTTTTTGCAGAAGACCGAACAACCTTCTCGAAGTGAGATTCGAAAAGCCCACATTGATAGGGTCCTCCAAGCCCAATCAGGAGACTGTAGTGCTTCCGTCGTTAGCACAAGAAGAGACCAGGACCACCAGAGCGTTTCCTCCCATAGAAGTCTAGGCCTACTTTCGTCCGTAGAAGGGGGAAGGCAACATGGTGCAATCCATCGTCAACAACAGCTTCTTCCAAGACCTTGTGGTGCCTTAGAAGTACCGCAATCGCTGAGCGAAATAGCAAGGAGGCCATTAACTGCGATATCCGATGCTTCGACTGCAAGAAGGTTGATCGACAGCTACTTGCGACAAAACACTAGTACTAGTTGTAGTTCTTCTTCTTCCTCTCGAAATTTTTATGAAGAAAAATTCAACTACAACGAAGCCCAAATCCTGCAATTTATCCACAGCTTCTATCCAGACTCCTCTCTAGAGTACAAGCAGCAAAAAAGAGCTGTCGAGTTTTTAGAGGCCTACGACAATGACGAGGACTACGAGATGCGCGAAGCTTTGCCCTTGTGCTTAGAAGACGACTATTTCGATGAGGAAGCAATCGGTAATGTAAGCGACGACGAGTCTTTTCTTGGAACAAGTGGTGAACAAGTACAAGACGGTGACGAAACCGTAGCAGGAGAGCGGGAAGACGACGCATTTGGATCTGATGAGGATATTGAGCTTGATGACGAAGGCGAAGACGATATCTTTACAACGGGACACAGCACAACCACAAGGAGAGCATCTTCGTCTTCTGCTTTAGCATTAAGGCTTCAGGTAATCCATCCCCAGAAGCATCTTGGGACCATCCTGTAAGGGAAAAGCAAGCCCAGGATGCCACTCAAGATGGATTCCAGGAAGCTCTAATAGAACTACTATCTTCGAAGCCACGACATCAAGGTCAAGAACAACCACGAGATTCACGACTACCCGACTTCACAAGCGAGTTGTACGAAACTGCCGTGAGCGCGAAAAAGATGCGAAAAACACAAAGGCTCCAACATTTTCTTGTCTTTGCGTCAAGAAGCTTCTGCAACATTGCGGCGGATCACGAGCTTTTGGCTTCCATGAACTTTTCTTATGCATGGAAGGATGTCGGGTGATATCATCTATATCAGGGCTGCGTAATTGTATTTGTAGTTTGGAGCGAGTATGTGACATTCTATAATTTTTGTTCCAATTTCAAAAAAGTTTCAAAATTTGTAGGTGGTATGCAGAAGAAGAAACAGACAAAATATGCAAAAGTTTGTTTTCTTTCGTCTAGTTTTTTAGTGCTATGCCTATGTCGTGCTAGTAGATAGCTGCTTCCTCATCTATGTCTATTTGAAGATGATTGAATCCCTTTCTACGTCTACGACCTCTTTCTACATCTATTTCTACGTCTACGACCTCTACCAGACCTCCACCAGACCTTCTTTTACGTCTACCTCTACCAGACCTCTACGAAACATCTAGCATGATAACCTTTTTCACTCTACCAGAGCTCTACCATACGTTTAGCATGATAACCTTTTTCATTCTCTGCAGCAATTGCAATGTTTGGAGAGCGAAGACGAAGACGCAGAGTTGCACCATGATGCGGAGCTGATGGATATGCGTGAGGCTTTAATGAAGTCCTTGATCAATACCTCGGACCAAGTCTTAAATTAAGGCCTCACGAACCTACGAGGATCCGGATCTAAACCGTCCGGATCTGCTGCGCGTGCGCCATAACGTACTTCATCTGCAGCTGGTCAAGAAAGTCCATAAGTTCTTCTGCTGTACAACGGGTTACTTTATAGTTTATATTTAAATGATTATATTCACAAGTAGAAAAATGGACCCAGCAGATGAAATCGTAACAGATGGATTATAGCTGGTCTTAGTTCTAATGAAAGCGCTTTAGCACTATGCAAGCGGTTTTCGAGCGTCTTACTTCGACCGATGCTCAAGAGTCACTGTCTGCTCAGTTGCTGCAACTCAGACAGGAAATAAACTCTGGCAAAGATCTAGACGGCAATGACATTCCGGATGACACGTTAGCGTCTGGAACTGTTGGGGTTCTAGCAACGGGAATGCGGAAGCTCGAAAATGAG